TTCCAAGGAAAAGGAAATTATGGAAAATGCGATTAACATCAGCGATTTTTCACAACTCACCCCACTTCGAAAAGAACTGAGTGAGGGAAGAGTTTGCATTGCTAATGAGATGAATACAGAGACCAAGACCTCTGACATACCGACAGAGGATGAACCAGAAGAAAATGCAATCAACATCAGCATTATTCCTCATCTTTCCCAGGAACAAACAGAACTGTGCCGAGGAAGAGATAGCCCAATAAGAAAGAAGGACAAAAACAACACTAAAGAATCAAATAAAATGGAAATTGGCGAAAATGTGCCTAACACCGGCAATTATTCCCAGCTCGTCCCACTCCGAATAGAATTGAGTGAGGAAAGAGTTTATTTTGTAAATCACCTGAATTCAGAGGACAACATCAACTCTGCCATTGGACGGGAAGAGAACATACCTAACCCATACTTTCTTTCACTGCTCGCTCTGATCTGGAAGGAAGTGAGTCAGAGAAGAGCTAAGCATATTAATGAAATGGACAGAGAGAACAAGACCCACTCTGATATACCCACTGAATTTGAATGTGAAGAAAATGCGACCAACAACCCAATGCGACTAACTAATATTGCTCCGCTTGCCCCCCAACTATCTAAACTGAGCGAAGGAAAAGCGAATGCAAACCAAATGAATATAGAGAATAAGATCAACTCTGGCGAAATGAAACATGATGAAAATTCAACTGACATCTACAATGTTTCACAGCTCACCCCGTTACCCCTACACCTGAGCGAGGGAAGAGTTTCTAGGAGCCAAGACAACGGTAATATTGACACATGGAAGGACTTAAAAAACAACCATTACTCATACATTCAGAGTTGTTTGTTTGATACCACCAGAGCAGCCGAACAAATAGCTGAATATAACATCGAAATTGATCCGGACGATCCAATATTAGAACCATTAAGTGTGAACGAAGAGGAATCGAGTGTTGAAGAACTCACTCCACCTAAAAAGAACTACATCAAGAGAAAGTGGCGACTTTTAAAGAAAGTTTTTCGATCAAAAAAATCTAAGAATACGAAAGATACAGCTCAAAAACGGGGCTGCTAAATTTTTTAAGTGTTATTTTTTTTCTTTCTGCAATTCCTTGTTTTTTTCGGTTAAATGTAAATGCTAAATTTTCATGCTGATAAAATATATTTATGCACAGGAGCAATTTCAGAACAAAACCAACAAATAGCTACTTCTTGAAACCAATCACAATAGAAATAAGCTGAATATCTGAAGTTTAGAATTGAAGAAAATTAAATAAAATGTTAAAAACTGATTCTGAAAGTGCAATTTGAACAAATCTGCTACATTTGGAACAATATCGAACTTACATCCACATTTAGAACAAAACCAGTAAAGAGCTACTTTTTAAAACCAATCACAATAGAAATAAACTGAATGACAGAAGTTTAAAATTGAAGAAAATAAAATCGAACGTCAAAAACTGTCTCTGGGAGTGCAACTTGAACCAATCTGCAAAATTTGGAGCAACATCGAACTTACATCAACATTTAGTGTCATGTATATGTTTTTACGGAAACATAGCCTTTAAAAAGATATCTAAATCAACAATTTACAGTAATTGTACTTATTAGTACTTCTTCAAAAATTTGCTAAGCGTTATGGGTAGTTGTATACCGTTGATGGTAGTATACCCGACGTTTAAGCAGTTAGTTGACAGCATATGATTAGAGCAGTCGTAGGTATTTTTTTACCTATGCCGTAAAAAAAAGACAGCTTGAAGTTTGAAGAGAAAGAAAGAAGTAAAAGTTTAAAAGCGCTAAGAGGAAAAATTGCAGCCTTGATGACATCATATTTTCTCTAAAAATAAAATGGAAAAGAAAAATATCAATGAAATAAACAGAAACAGATTGAAAGTGGAAAAAGAAGAATATCAATAGAATAATCAGAAACAGTTCGAAAATAGAAAAAAAGACTATCAATAAAATAATCAGAAATAGATTGAAAATAGAAAAGAAAAACATCAATTAAATAATCAGAAACAGATCGAAAATAGAAAAAAGGAATATCAATAAAATAATCAGAAATAGATTGAAAATAGAAAAGAAGAATATCAATTAAATAATCAGAAACAGATCGAAAATAGAAAAAAAGAATATCAATGAAATAATCAGAAACAGATCGAAAGTGGAAAAATATTTTAAAGATGCATCTATCGAGCAAAAAAAATAGTTATATTCTGGCAATAGCTCTGTACAGTATTCAAAGTTCTACAAGAACAGTAAAATTTAAAAATCAACCAAAAAAATTAAAAAAAATTAAAAATTGTCGGCGTATCGTCTCTCCCATTGTCTCTAACAAAAAAAGCAAAAAATTATGAAAAGCAAAATAAAAAGATGAATAACTGAGAAAATGTTACACAATATGTATTGTAGAACAAAAAAAAATTATAATTTGCAAATGTTATTTTCACTATGTAATAATTTGGCCAATAAATATTTCAAAATTTATATGTATCGTGACTCATTTTGTTTTACTATTCTATTTTCCGTGAAGAGTAAAGGATTAAAGTTGTAGTATCTAAGTTCATAACAGTTAATACTTAATAATATGATAACTTCTTTTGCTTCAAAAAATATGAATATCATAATAAAAATCAGCATTTTAGGAGAGCTCAAATATAGTAATTTCAAGACTTGCTAGACGAACGAGAGGAAAACAAACAAATTTGAATAAGATAAAATTATTTTGCCAAGGCAAAAGGGAAAATAAAAGTAAAAAACAAAACTACAAAAACTGTGTCTGCGCGTAAAGTAGAAATGAAAAATAAATAAAGATTAAAACAAACTCATATACCATTATATGTATTCAAAAATATCTTTTTTAGTAAATGCATTTTTTGTAGTTTTGTAACCCAACTCCCATGCCCATTACCTAATACGAAAAACCTAACTTAACTAAACTCTAATGTACAGTTAAATTTCCTTGCTTCGGTTTTGAAACCATGCTAGGAAGTAAATAGTTACAAAACCGTAATCAGGAGTTTGACAGTAATCACGAGTTGTAGCGAGTTTTGTAATCACGTCTTATTAATCCTACCTGTAGTAAATGGTTAAAAAACCGACAAGGTAAAGAAAAGTTTCTAACCGTTACCGTTAATTGAATCGACATACTGTTGCCACTTATTTTGCCGTTATTTTATTTGGTCGAAATATCAACAACTGTTTCTCTTCGCTGAGAAAATAATTGGTTATAATTAAGAGTGATTCATATTTGTACCAATCAGATCATTTGTATTTTATGATGTTTTATTTCTCTGTGATGACGTTTACAATTCTTAATAAAAAAGGCGAAAATGGAGATGGAGAGAATGATCTGATAGAATTTTTCATTAATGGAACAGAATAGTTTAAGAAATGCAAAAACAACTTCCTTTAAAAAAAAAATTTTTTTTTTTAATATTATAATACTTTCTATGGCTAGATGGTAAACCCAATCCATACCGCCCATCATTGTATTGGCGGAAAGTGCAGTATACTATTTTCTAGTTAAATTTTCTGTTTTAAGTTCGTTCTAAATTAATGAAATTAAAATTTATTACAATTTGTTTTGATTGCTATAGCTGAAAATAATGTCCGCTTTTATATAGTTAATGATTTCTTCTGGCAAGGGACTCGATATAAAAATATTCGCCAAAAGCCACTCGCTAAATTTCATTTACATAATTTTTGAACATATAAAATATAAAATAATGGTTGTTTTTCTTATAGTTAAGTTTTAATCGTTCCTTTTAGTTTATATTTGCGTTGGTTGTAAAAAAAAAGTTTTCAATTATTTTAGAAGAATTCTTCTATTTTTTTAAAAGTTTAAATCGCTTCTAACAATTCATGTTTTTGAAAACTTTTCACAAAATAATAACGAGTTAGCTAGAAGCCGTATAACTTAAAGAAACGTGTATGGCCTTGTGAAAATCATCTTGCTTTGCTTAACTGTTACCTCATTTTACGACACTTATTTAAAAGTTTTAATAAGAGATATTAATATAGTTTATAAAAAGTAATTCTCCAAATATACATATCGTACAATTTCAACTCTTCTATTGACCTACTTTTTATTTTTTTTTATTTGTTTTAATCTTTATTCCCTCTTTGTTTTGCTGTGATATAATTTAATTAATATTTTGTCTATTATTATTTAAAGTTAACAAACATTTAACAGTTGGTACTTAACTTTTACAGAATTTACTTTTACAAGTATGTGTGTTCACATTACTAATTTTTCAATGCAGTTTCATTTTCAATGGAGTAAAAAGTAAAAAAATGTTTCAGAAATATTTCTAATGTTGCATAAAATAAATAAATTTCAATCCAATCATTAAAATTACAAAACATATTATGCTTCCCATATTCCATTAGTATATGGTATAATCCTAGAATTATAATCAGAATATCTGTCAGACTTACAATACGTTTTTAAAGAACATCTTGTGGCTTAACTATTTTCAAATTAATGGTATTTAATCTCACTGTCATTTTAATATTAATGTGTTGGTAATATATTATCATTAAAGAGTTTTTTATTTTATTTTATTTCAAATGGCTTGTAGAGCCCTGCTATGTCTGTAAGATTAGAGCCTTTTCTAGTGCGTATAGCTAAGAAATATGGAATGAAACACTTTCGATTCATGTATTTCTTAAAACAGCACGAATATGAATTCTGAAAATTTTAACTTCCAAGCAATCCAAATCTATATTACTTATTGAAAAATACAAATGAAAAAAAAATATGTAAAGTGTATACATAACTCGGTTATCATTTAAATGCAAAGTTTTTTACTCATGTAAATACAAATTCAACAAAGCGTAACCTAAAAAATATGACTCATATATGTTTGCTATTTGATAATTGCTTAAATAAGACTTACTGTGCAACTTCGGAAAGTGATCCCCAAATAGCATTATTTGTTCCGAGTCGCATTACTATGCAGCACCAGAAATAAAAATAAATAAAGTGCTTTTTGTCTTATATATATTTTATTTATATAGTCCTATTTTACAGTATGTTCAAAAAATTAATAATTTATAAAATAGCTTTTCCTAATACTCAGATCAAATGAGTAGATTTATAGCAAAGGTCGTATGAAGATCAAAGCAAACCATGCCCTGAAGCTAAAGGAGCTCCGATAAGCCCGAGACCAGCAACGAGTCCATGACTACCGTATCCAATGGCAGCTGGAGCAGCAATAGGGACAGCGGCCACATGATGATTGACAGGAGCAACATGGTTAATAACAGCTTTTTGAGTAGCAACTGTTGCGGGTACGGCATGGATTCCTTTAACAGCAAGAACAGGCATAGCGAGTAATCCATGTCCTATTTTAGCTGGAGCATAATGAGCTACTGGGGCAACGTGGTTGATCACAGCTTTTTGTGTAGCAATGGTGGCAGGAGCGGCTACAATGGCATGTCCAGCAACTAAGCCATGACCAGCGTAACCAATTGCTACGGGAGCACCATGAGCAATTGGGGCAACGTGGTTGATGACAGCCTTTTGTGTAGCAATGGTTGCAGGAGCGGCTGCAATGCCATGTCCAGGAACTAAGCCATGGCCAGCGTAACCAATTGCTACGGGAGCACCATGAGCAACTGGGGCAACGTGGTTGATGACAGCCTTTTGTGTAGCAATGGTGGCAGGAGCGGCTGCGATGCCATGTCCAGCAACTAAACCGTGACCAGCGTAACTAATTGCTACGGGAGCGCTATGAGCAACTGGGGCAACGTGATTAATGACAGCCTTTTGAGAAGATAAGGTGGCGGGAGCGACCAAGACAGATTTAGTAGCGATGCCATGGAGACCAGAACTGATTAATGGAGCACCTAAACCAACATGGCTGACAATGTTGGAAGCCTGAACAGCAACCACAGTGAAGCAAAGAACAACAACCTGAAGGGGAAAAGAGAATTAGTAACACAATAGCTTAATTTAAAAATAATTACATATCAGAATGTGATAATTTTGAATATTCTGTTAAGCTTCTGCGTTTAAAATGAAATAGTTTTCTTGAGATCAAAATTGGTACCAGGACAACTGAACAGAACTGTTCTAAAAGCACCAATCAATTTAATTTCGCTATCCGAGTATTAATTTTGAAATCTTTAGAAATTATTTATTATTCCATAATCCGTTACACAGTATGAACTTCCGTAGCATGTGGAAGTTTAAACAAAATTGTAGCTTTTTGAAATTAACAATAGCAATGAAATCAAATTTGATAAAATTTACAAATTTGATGAAAAGTTATTTATTGCTTCGAAATATGCTTCTTATTTAAAAAAAAAAACGCAGTTTCAAGCAAAAAATTCTAAAAGTTGAAAAATTTTTAATTCATACTTTTACTATCTACAAACATTTTCACAATTTCATTTAACAAATTGAAGATAATTAAGCACATACAGGTTATTTTGAAAAACAATAAGAAATTTTTGCAATCCCGTTTTCAATAAGAACTTCGCTAAAATAAACTTTTAATTTATGAAATTTACAAAATTACTACTGAAAATTAATAAATTTAAATTATAATTTCCACTAAAATATAACACTTTTTTTAAGATGCGATAAGTCAAACAATTTTTAACTTGTATTTTTATTAGTTAGAAACATTTTTATTTCATATTTTGCAGACATTTCAAAAATTTACTTTACTGTCTTAAATAGTTAAAAATTTTATTAATCACATTTTCATTAAGAAATATGTCATAGTAAGGCTTTAAATTTAAAAATTATAATTTAAGAATTTTTTTACTCAACAATAAAATATAAAAAGCTTTGAAATGGCAATTAAATTCAATTACCATTATCATTGAAAATTACCATTAAAAATTACCATTATCATTACCATTAAATTACCATTACCAATGAGTATTTCAACAGGAGATAAACTACAAGAACAAGAGATACAATAAGAGTTTAAAAGCTTAAAATGCTTGAAATCGTAAACTTAAAAGAACTTTTAAAATTGTTAAAGTTGAATGTTAGGAGAAGAATACGGTTTGAATGAATCATGAACTAAACGAGCATTTTAATGTTTTGAATTGTTAGGGGTGAATATTAGGAGAAGAATATGGTTTGAATGAATCCCGAACTAACATTAAAGAAAATTTTTACGTTTTAAATTGCTAAGGTTGAATGTTAGGAGAAGAATATGGTTTGAATGAATCATGAACTTAACGAGCATTTTAATGTTTTAAATTGTTAGGGGTGAACATTAGGAGAAGAATATGGTTTGAATGAATCCCGAACTTACCTTAAAGAAAATTTTTACGTTTTAAATTGCTTAATCATGAACTTAGCGAGCAGCAAAACGTTTTAAATTAAATGTAATGAGAAGATGTTAGAAAAATGTTACGAGGTTAAAAATTAGGAGAAGAATATGGTTTGAATGAATCATTAACTTACCTTAGCGAACATGTTTAGTAATTGATGAAGTTTATTAGAACTAATGACCTATTAACATCGCCTGGTTGCTTTTATATACAATTTCAGATTCAAATTAGAAGCGTACATTACCTTAAAAAAGAAATATTTCCCGCCATTGTCGTACCTGGTGAAAGTATATCCTTGCTCAATAAAAAAACGTGTCCACACCCATGTAAAGCGTGGAGATTGAATTAAATATGCGACCAATTTTTCCTCGATGTCCTTTGTGCGATACTAATTATTATTATTTTTTATGCGTAATCAATATAGTTGATGATATTGATAGCCGAAGGATAGATATATGTGAAGGATACGTATTGAATAATTTTTATTTATAGAATTATTTATTTTTAAGATTAATGGAAATTAAATAACATCATTAGAAGTTGTTTTAAAGTGTTATTATTATTTTTATAGTTTTAATTAGTTATGTATTTCATTCAAAGAGCGATTATAATTATCAGTAATCAGTTATGAGGTTATTTCAAAGCACATGCTTGTTAGTGATGCAGTTATAATGCACTGAGAAAAGAAGTATGATGAAAACTATCAGAATATGATAAAAATGACCGTGTTTTGGAAAAAACTTTAATAAACGGTACATTTTATCAAATCTTTTTTTGTTTTACGTGTGCCTATGGACAGGTAATTTTATTTACCTAAATGATATTAATACCATGCTAGTTTTATTTTTTCAATTAACTGCTGCCCAAAATTGCATTCAACGTTACTCAGAATTAGCTATATAAGCGTAACTTAATGATTTGGCGAACTTATTCAGTTAGTCGCCAAATCATTATATTACGATAAAGCAGCTAATTACTATACTAATTTAATTGCAAATTTCGACACTGTCAGAATTTCATTCTAAAATTGTGGTAAAATAACCGACAGCAGTCTGTCCATCCAATTAACCATAAAGTTTACGGTAAAGAGCATTTTTTTTTACCTTTATCGCTTTGAAACGTTTGTAACTTGTATGGTTAAGAAAATCATGAATACGGAACGATACCGTTTTAAAAACCGTATCGTTTCGTATTCATAGCTATTTAACCCTTTACATTGGTATAATTTCCAAAAATGTAAAAAAGAATTTTGAATCGGAAGTAGGCTATACTTTAGGTAATGGGCATTGGAGTTAGGTTGTGGTTGAGACGAGTTTTATCAACTAAAAAATGCAATGTGGTTTAATTAGTTTATCTGGTTGTTTCACCTATCTCGAGAGATGGGAAATACTCGACTATTTTGGGGTAATCAGATTTATAGTGCTGCCATCTATGTATGAATGAGAGTATCATATCCTTATAGTCCAGGGTTATAAATTAAACAATGCAGAACACTGAAAAACTTTTCCTGTGTTTAAGAGAATAGTGGAAAGATCGTGGTGTCAACGCAGGGACTCGAACCCCCATACTGCCGGTCATAAGAGTGATAGATTAGTGACTTCTAAGGTCGACTAAGTGGCTTCATAAGGTCGGCTTAGTTATTGTGCTAAAATTCTGTATTAGTTAATAAGTAACCGTAATAGTTAATAAATTTATTTTCTTTCGGTTAACAGTTTAAATACCATCTTATTTAAGGTTATTTGACTGTTTTGTTTGAATATGGTAAAATAGCAATTAAATAAATTGTTATTCAACCATTTTTCCGAGAAATTTCTAATGGTAGACAATAATTGTTAGAAAGCATTAAAATTAAGATAATATAGATAAATAAAAGTGCCTGCAAAGGCACATGCAAAAATAGTTCATTATAAGGATTCGCCCCTAGTGTCCCACTATGACGTTCCCTGTCATAGATTCCTATGCAACTCTTAATCCTAATGACGTGCGCTACCTTCCCCCTAGGATTGTGCTGTGATTTTAAAATCACCTACAGCTGAATTGTTTCCATGATTTTAAATAACAAATCGATAATAATTAAATTCTTCATTAATTTTTGAGTTTTGATACTGATTTTAATTTAATAATTCACGTTTAATGCAACAGAGAAAAATATAATTAAATTAAAGCAATTGATTAGAAAATACCATTAAGGAAAAATACGTATTATTTTTAAAGACGTTTTTTCCAATTTTTACATTACAAATTTTTATGTTAGTGGTTCCTAAAGTCAATTTTTTACATGAAATGCATTCTTTCTTAGCGAAATGTGGCACAAAATTTACAATTTTATCTATGTATCAGGATTATTGACTATTTTAATGGATTTATTGCAAAGCAATCGTAAACTGAACTCCTTAATAATATTTAGACATTTTGTGTTGTTATTAATACTCTTCTTAATTTCATGAATACTTTCATAAAAAAAACATTATTTATGTAATATATTTTTACAAATAATGCATAGAAATAATTACATGATTTTAAATTCCACAATATAATATAAAATGTTAACTTTTGAAAAATGAAAGGGTTTGCAAAATTGGATCAAACCATTATTGATGATATAAGCACTCATTACCAAATTAAAAAACGCATTTTTGAAAGACTTATTCTGCAAAATCTTTTTACTTTAAAGTACTCGTATAAATTTCTTAAAATGGAATTGTTCAAGTTATCGTAAGGAATTAATTATAGCAATTTAAACGGTTAAAAGAAGAAACTTTTTATATTACCGGTGTAATTAAGTCTGACCTCATTCCTGAAATGATTTACTGTAAAAAAGGATAGCATTTAAAAATGGATTGAATTTACAAGAAGAAAGAAAGAATTTGTTCCGGAAATAAATATGTTTTTAATTACTAAACATATGTTGAATGGATACAAGTACAGAATCAATTCCAAGTTAAGTAGTTTGTTGTTTTCAATTTGAATTGTATAGCAGAAATGTAATTAGTAAAGAAAAATAAGAAAATAAAACGAAATTGATGCCAGTAAAAAGGAAGAAAAATTAAATAAGAATAATTTTGTCATTGTTAAGTTAACAGAGTTGTCAGATTGTCAGTGGTAAAATTTCAAGGACTGGTTACAAATGAGGTAAATTATTGAACTTAGAAAATATTAATGTTAAGTCCTTAATGAATATTTTTTATTAATTAAATTTCACTATCCAATTTTTGAAAGGTTCTTAAATATTATTCTTAAATTGAGGTTTTAATTTTTCTCATATTATATATTATATGGGCAGATCTCTAAAATCTTTAACTTTTGATAATAAAAAAAAACAATAAAAAATAATAGGCACGCTATTTTTACACCTTCAGAATTGTTTGAAAATGTATAAAATACCAGAAAATAATCGCGAACATCGAAAATTTTGATGCCCTTATAAGTATAAACAAAAATTTAAAATTTTTGAGCTAACTTTTCTAGGTTTATATAAATTTCATTAAAAATCATAAAAACGACAAAAGTATCATTTACTTAATAAACATATAAACTTATTGAACCTATTTTTCTTTTATTGAGTAATTTTTTCTTTTTAATAATTTCATACATATTTACCCTTTATTTTTCATTAAAAATTATTAGTATGATAAATGAATTGGAAAATTTTAATATTAAGTTAAATTGTTATAAAATGTATAAAAAAGCTTACTTTAATTATTTTCAGTCAAAAAATATCTTCAATTAAAAAACATAGGGAAAAATCTGAGTTCTGATTTGTTAAATTCAATTAATTAATCCTGAGGGTTACGGTCTGGACAACCTAGAGAATAGATCGAAAACTTTACTCAGATGCACCGCAATGCGATGCACACAACACAGAAAGTAAATTAGGCAATGACATACTTGTGATCAAAATTTTGATTGATTTTAACGTTTACTTTTCAGATCTGCGTCTGATTACGGTCTTGACATCGTAACTCTAACCTCACTGAATGACAGTTTGTGATTATAAACCTAGAAAAATTAGTTCAAAAATTTTAATTTTTTGTTTATACTTATAAGGGCATCAAAATTTTTTTATTAATTTTTAATATTTCATTTTTTTAAATTTATTTTATTTATTAATTTTTTAATATTTTATTTTTTTATTTAATTTATACAAGCAAACAAATATAATACAAACAAACATTGTCTCATCTTTTAAAGCTAACTAATTTTTATGATATAGAATTAAATGCAAACTTAAACAAAAACATAATCGTTTTGTTATTTAAAATGGTTTTATCATTCATAATTGGTAACTTTGTTTTCATTTCAATTCTAACCTTCAGTAA